GATCCTGGGCCAACCTCACTATTGTTGCCACACTTGAACCCATTGATGCTGCCACTTAGCCAATACATCTCACTGGGGGTCTTCCTCTTTTTCTCTGACCCTCCACCTTACCAAACATGATATCCTTCTCCAGCAACTGGTCCTTCCTGACAATATGCCCAAAATATGAGAGACGAAGTTTGGCCATCTTGGCCTCCAAGAAGCACACTGGCTGCACTTCTTCCAACACAGATCTATTGGTTCTTTTGGAAGCATATGGCACTTTCAATATTCTCCAACACCATAATTCAAAAGCATCAATTCTTCTACAGTCTTCCTTACTCAGCTTTCTCATCCATATGAGATTATTGAAAATGCCATGGCTTGGGTCAGGAGCACCTTAGTCCTCAAGCTGACATCTTTGCTCTTCAACACTTTAAAAAGATCTTGTGCAGCAGATTTGCCTAATGCAATACGTCATTTGATCTCTTGACTGCAGCTTCCATGAGTGTTGATAGTTGATCCAAGAAGAACGAAGTCCTTGACAACGTCAATCTTTTCTCCTTTGATAAGAATGTTGTTTATTGGTCCAGTGGTGAGGATTTTTGTTTTCTTTACATTGAGGGGCAATCCATACTGAAGGCTGTGGTCTCCATACTTACAACTAACTTGTCTGCATATCAATTAAGTACAGATAATATAAGTACCTCTACCTCATTAGACTTTTACAAGGATTAGTACTGTTTTGATTCCCTAGGTATGGCAAAGGATTAACAAACTCATTTGCTAACCAAAAGGTTTCAGTTCACACAGATGTGCCTCAGAAGAGAGGCCTAGCAATCTACTGCTGAAAATCTGCCATTGAAAACCTTGTATACATTGAAAACTATTGTACTCTGAAACAATGGGGTCACCTTGATTTGAAAGTGACTCAGAAGCAAAAGGTTTTTAGCACTAAGCCAGTCACAGCGCTTACAGAGACATACCAACAAAAAATGATATTCCCTTTAGATCATAATGGGGTCACCACGGAATGACTCAAAGGAGCTAACAACAACAAAGAGAGCCTGCATTTCTATGACTGTCCTACAGTATAAGAGTATGATGGATTATTCAACCATAATATGTCCAAATAAGTTTTTAACTTAAACAGTTCAGTTAGCTAAAGAGCGATCATCTCCTCACCTCCCTTCTACCTAGTTTCTTTCCTCTTTTATATGCAGGGAAACTCAGCTTTATAGGCTTTATCTTCTCCCACTCCTAACCTGGAGAAGTGTGTCATCTGGTACTTTGCTGCTCTGTTATTGTGTTTCAGAGTGGTAACTACAAACACCAATTAATCCCCTTTAAAAATTCAGTGTTTCTCATGAATAAGACACATAGGAAAATCCTCTCTCATGTCATTCACCATACCCCATTGCCAATTCCTGCCAATAAATCTATCTTCTTTTGAGATCTTTGCAACTCCCCTCCACACTTTATTATACCTAAACACTGTCCTACTAGACCCCCAGCAAGATGAATTGGCAAAGTGGCAGCATCAATGGGCTCAAGCATGGCAACAATTGTGAGTTCAGCCCAGGACCAGGTAGTGTTTCCTTCTGTTGTGCATAAGGTCGCTATGAGGTGGTATGGACTATATGGCACCTAACAACAACAACAACACTTTAAGGTAGTTTCCCTTACCTCTATCTCTTTTCTATGTCTCATAGTAAAAGCAACCTAGCTTTCCCTAGTGTCTTTTTAATAGACTATCTTCTCCTAACCCTAATCTTGAGGTGTATAGCCAGAATGCTCCTTAGATGCAAGGATGGCCAGACTTGTTATCATGTACTCTGGAGGACATCATGCTTAGTAAAGTAAAGAAAGGGTCAGTGAAAATGGAAGAACTACAATGAGATGGATTCATAGAGTGACTGCAGCAATGCTCAAATATAGCAGCAATAGTGAGGGTGGCATAGGACTGGACAGTGTTTCATTCTATTGCACACAGAGGTGCTGTGAGTCACAATCAGCTTAATAGTACCTAACAACAACAACCTTGAGGAGAGGTGAGGAAACGGACTCTTTGCCTCTATGATTTTTCATTACAGCCTTAAATGTCATGTTAATATCTTCCATCCATTTATATCACACACTTTATATCATTACTAGAAGGTAAAATCACGTTTACCTTCCTAAATGTTTTATTGTTTGGCTCACACTTTTCCCTCCAACTCTTTATTATCTTTCTTTGAAACTTAAGCCTCACTTGCTATTAACAGAAAAATAGCACAGATTGAGAGCATGAACTTTGGAGTCACGGTACTTGGATATGACTCCTGGCTCTACCACTGCCTGGGTAAAGGCAACTCAACACATTTGGATCTTAATTTCCTCATTTGTGAAATGGGGAGAACCACAATATCTATATTGCTGTTGTTGTTAGCTGCCATCAAGTTGGCCAACTACTCTTGAAACCACACGCACAATAGAATTGAACCAGTGTGATCCAGAGGGTTAAGTTTCATTGGTTGATCTTCAGAAGTAAATAGCCAGACTTTTCTTCCTAATAAATATAGTACAAGAATTAAATGAGTTCAAACACTTAAAATAGTCAGTGGCACAAAGATAGGACTTTTAAATATCTTTATGTATTTCAACTGCATGTCAAGACAAAGAATATGAAGAAATGGCTGTAGAAACCCCAGTCAATAAAAACCCTATGGATCACACTGGTCTGAGCCCCTTGGGATTGGGCATGTTGTTGCCACAAAGCAGGGTTGGTTCAACAATATCTAAAAACAATTTTTATTACCCTTGGTAATATTATTATCCTGTTAACTATTGGATTTTAACTTCTGGTCATACTGGCATCAACACATAGTACAACTTTAATCAGTTTACAAAGTACTGCTTTAAGATTTCAAATCTGCTATTTCTCTCCAAATATAAAAGTCATATCCACTCATCTTTCTCATTCCTGAAAACCCTCAGAATTTTCTGTAAACTTAAATCACCAATTCTCTCTCAATCTACCCAAACAGTAGCAACCTAACTTCCTGATCTGTATCACAATTTCTTAATATGAATAGTCAACTGGTTTACTGGGTTAAACATACGGCTGCTAACAGCAAGGCCAAAAGTTTGGATCCACCAGTTGTTCCATGGGAGAAAAAGGAGGTTTTCTGCACCCATAAAGATTTACAGCCTCAGAAACCCTAAAAAGGCTCTCTATGAGTCAAAATGACTAGACAACACACAGAAGCAATAGCAACAAAGAACACACTGTCATCAGGCCGAATTCCGATTCATAGTGACTCTATAGGACAGAATAGGGAAACTGCGACATCTTTTTCCCATTAGTGGCTGGTTGTAACCACCAACCATTCAGTTAACAGGGAGTACTTGAGCACTTAATCACTGTGCCACCAGGACTCCTTATTCAACTCTGGTTGTGGTGGTGGTTATGTTGTGCCTTGGAGCGGATTCCGACTCATAGCAAACTTATATAGGGTTTACTGCAGGAGAAAGCCTCATCTTTCCTCCCATGGAATGGCTAGTAGTTTTGAACCACTGACCTTGAGGTTAGTAACTCGACTCATAACCACTATGCTACCAGTGCTCCTGTTCAACTCAACTGTGTTCAGCCTATTTTCTTCACTCTTTGACTGTATACCTGGTATGGCGCTGTGGGTTAATGTGCCAGACTGCAAATCCATTTGAACTGCAAGGTTGGCGTTTCAAGCTCACCAGCTGCTCCTTGGAAACCCTATGGGTTGGACCCAACTCGACAGCACATAACAACAACAACATATTTGTATGTATAATTAAAAGTGTTTTGTAATGCAAGTATCTAAATCTATATCATCTCTATTTCTTTTAACAATCAAGTTATCTTTCATGAAGTTTCTCCAACACATTTAAACCTAAGACCATTTCCCTCTCCTCCTAACACACAGAAACTCACAAATATACTTTACGGAATCACTTCTCTGGGCATTTTGCGAATATCTTGAAATCAGAAAACTTTGAAACAGGAAGTACAATAGCAGATATTCAGATGGTTGGTTCTTTGTCTAGATTTGATCTCAGTAATTTCAAAGGAACCCTAAACCAGCTGGTTATTAAATGTAATTATTGCTAACATTCAAATGTAAAATGTTCTTTAAATGTGTTCTTCTCTTTAAATATAAATGATTGGCTGCTTAGAGTTTAGTGTAGGTACAAACAGAAATTCAAAACTATTTTTTATGGAAGTTAAATTCTGAAACACACTAACAAGTCAGTGCAGGATCATTTAACAATGATTTTTGAAAACTAAAACTTTTACTTAAACAAAATACTTATTTAGGAATTGTATGACTGTGATGTCCAAAGTTTTCATTTGCTTCAAATGATCTATCTGTTTCTTCTTGGACACTTGCAAAAATATACTAAGTAATAAAAGGAATTAGATTTTTGTGTAATTACCATTATATAAATATAAGCATGCAAGTAGAGAAAAAACAAGTCATATAGAAAATTGTAACTATTCGAGATGGGTCTGGATATATATAGTACATATATGACTTAAACTGCTTTTAAAGTTTTTTATTTGATCAAAAGTTTGACATGTTTTACATATATAATGTTGCTGTTAAGTGCCCTGTCGGTTCACAGAGACCCTGTAAAGGGATTCCAAGGAGCAGCTGGTGGGTTTGAACCACCAACCTTGCAGCTTAAACTGACCTTATGGTCTAGTGCTTACCCCACAGCATCGCCACACAATTACAGCAAACCTGTTTTTTTGTTTGTTTGTTTGTTTTAAAGCAATAGTTAATCAATAATTGTAGCCCTATTCTCAAGATTATGGATTTGTGATTAATATTGAAAGTTATTTAAATATGAATACACTGTTAAAACCTCATCTTATATGTTAAATACCACCTTTTCTTAGAACAACCGATCATTAAATTCTAAAAACACTAGATGATTTCCACTCACTTTATTTCCACTCACAATTTAATTAACAATAAAGGATCAGGAAGAAAAAAGCCTACCTTCCATGGCCCTTTTGAAGAAGACTTTACAGCTCCCACAGGTAAGAACACCATAATGACAGCCTGATGCTTCATCCCCACAGATTAAGCAAATTTTCTGAGGTAATGACTCAAAGCTGTACTGTGGACTCTGGCTGGCTTCTGAATCCGGCCTTGAAATGTAAAACAAAGTACTTGATTTATTTTTAGGAGTACCACTATCAGAATACTAAAATTTCTTAATTGAGCATTGACAAGGTGAAAGGGAGACTTAAAAAAACAAAAACAAAACAACAAGCTATATATATATATATACTCATACTTGGAAGATATACAAACTAAATTTGGCGCAATAGAGTATCCGTAACTGGATTCACTAAACTCTCAAATTATTAGTCACTCATTAGTAAGAGCCAAAATAAAAGAATAGCAGATAATAAGATTTTTCTGCTTGTGACAACTAAAATCAATTGGTTTTTAAAACAGTCTTTCTATAAAATTCCTTATATAGAAGCAATTGAATCTGCCAAATGAAAAGTTATGCCCTTCCTGTATTTTGGGTAACAGAATGATTGTGCCTTAATAATTCAATCCTATTTAATGCTTTTGTTTTGAGTTGTTAAATATCCAACCTTGTGGTGACTGTTTACTTAAACAAGTATACGTGTTTTTCATTTTAAATTATTGTTCAATGAACTGGCACTGTTTTGCCTGCCTATTCACTGTACTTAAAACTCCAAACTGAGCATTCTTTTTTCTTTTAAAATCCCGTTACTTCAGCGTCTAATTGAAAATACTCTTGAAAAGCTGTATGAAAAAAAAAAAAAAAGTAGGGAATCCGAAACAACGTTTGAAAACGGTGCACTGCAGTGATTAATGATGAAACCCACAATTGAAATACATTACATGTAAAATTAATTTTAATTTTGCAATACGTATGATAATTGAACCGTTGAATTTCCAATCTCCTAACTTATTTCTGCTTTCGGTTCTGGCCAGCCACCTTTCATGAAGTCCCACCCTCCAAAGAAATGGTGCCTCAAATCTTCTCCAAGAAAGACATTCCTGGTAAATGTCTCTCTAAGAAATGACGCCTTTTGTAAAGCCCCCAAATCTCACAGAGCCTTTTCGCTTTAATGGGTTACAGCGGACCCAGGTGAAGCTGCACACTTTAAATCACAGTTGGTTCTGCTCCGGAGAGCAGGTGAGAAGGGAGGCAAATTGCCCCAGCGCCCCACCCAGTCGCCCACCTCCACCGGGACACCCCAGGGAACTGGAGCCCTGCGGCTGCTAGCCCGCGGAACTTCTTCACCTGCCGCGCCAGGATGCGCCCCGCCCAGGCCCTCACCTCAGGTAGTTGAGATAAGGCGGGTAGACTTGCGGAAGCCCCTCCTTGAGCACAGCAGCCTGGTAGCCGAGCTGCGGGAGTCCGTTGAGGCCGAGCGGGGGGTAGAGAGCAGGAGCAGCCCCCGCGGTAGCCGCGGCCGAGGTGGAGGGCAGGCCGTCTCGTGAGTGCAGGCAGGCGCCCGCGCCCGGCCCCTTGCAGGGCGGCGTTGCGAACGGACCCTGCTGGGGCGGCGCGCCCTCGGCTTTGTACAGAATGCACTCCAGGGTTGACCCCGACGAGGACACGGGCGAGATGGAGACACTGGAGGCTGCAGCAGCCACCGCCGCTTCTGCGGATCTGGACGACGGCGCTCGCAGCGGCGGCAGAGGCGGTGGCGGCGGCGCCAGCGGGAAATCCGGAAAGGCGGTGGCGTTGGCACTGGCCAACAGGTAGGGGCGAGGGGGGCGAGAGGAGGCCTCGGCTCCTTCCTCCTCCTCCTTGATCTTCAGGGCTGGAGGCTGAGTATCGACATAGAGCGCGAAAGCGTCCTCCTTGGGTTCAACGTCGGGCGGGTACGCGCAATCGGGAAAGTCGCCCCCGGGCCCTGGGGTGGACGAGACCGAGGGTGAGCCCCGCGGCGGGACTAAGGCGCCGGTGACTGCGGCTCCGCTGTCGTAGCCCTCCCCCTCTAACAGCTGCCGGGTGCGAGCTGCCAGGAAAGCCTTGTTGAGGGGCAGGATGGGCACGTGGATGAAATCCATCAGCGTAGTGGCCATCGGAGAGCGCACCGGCGCCGCTGGCATATCCTGCTCAGGCAGTGTCACCCTGGGAGCCGGGAAGCGGGAATCTTCCTTGGGAACAAGGGTGACGCCTCCTGCGGCCGCCCCAGGCACATTGGCCACGGCTCCTCCTCCGGCTGCTGTGCTTCCAAGAACCCGGGGTTTGTCCTTCAGAAGTGAATTCGAAGAGCCCTCGGACTCTGAGCCAGTCTCCATCTCGACCTCCACCACAGGAGGCTGCGGAGAGGGCCTCACTAGAGCCCCTGGCCACTGAGGGTCCCCAGGGTTGTGGGGCAGCAGCTGCCTGGATGGCGATAGCCCACTGTGGACCACCTTATGGGCTGCCGCCGACCCTGAGATGTCACCAACCTTGCCTCCAGGTCGACTCATGAGCGAAGGCAACGCCCCCTGGGTGGCGGGGGCAGCTCGAGGGTCTTCGGGAACCTCAGGGCCAAACAAGCACCAAGTGCTGGTTGTTTCGCAGGCAGCAGGACTGGCGTGACTGTGCCCAGGACCAGGGGTCGCCAGCAGTGTGTCCAAGACACTGTCCAGCAGTCCACTGTCCCTTTCTGGGGACCTAGAGCTGCCTCCTCCAGCACCCCTTGTGGCTTCAGCTCCGGGATATTTGCCGTCCACGTTAGATAGGGACTGCTGGTCTGGCGCCTTAGCGTCCTGGGAGTTCTGTTCTTGGCAGGGCGGAGGGAAGAGCAACCCGTCCAGGGAAATGGGTATGGCTGAGACTGCGGGCGGGTCGTCAGAGGTCTGACACGCCTGGAAAGGGCCAGCGTCGGAGCTACCCAGCAGGGGGGATCCGACCTGGGTTGGGGAGGGCGCGCCGCCTGCCACGTGGGGAGCCAGAAGATCCTTTGCCTTCAACTCAGTCATGATGACCTGGACTCCCCTTTTCTCCTCCTCTCCCATCTCTAGGGAGGAGGAGTAGAGGAAGAAGGAGGGGGTGTTGGGAATATAGGAACAAAGGGTGGAGAAAATGGGAGTTGAATTTGGCTGGACCTGGGGGATCTCCACCTCCTGGGTCTCGAGGGGGCGGCGCTGGTCAGCTTCTGTCCTCGCCTTCCATCCCTTCCGCAGAAGTAAGGTGATTGATTGTCTTCCTGTCCCTGCAGCAAAGGGGAGAGCAAAGGAGAGGGTCATTGTAGGGAACTTGCCTTCTAACTGGGAGAGTTCTCTGAGAGTTCTTAGATGCCAGTCTAATGATGGAAGATGCGGAGTACTCACAAGTCCCCCACTGGTTTGGCGGCGGCTGAGAAAGCAGACACGGCGATATCTCTCCACTTTTCCTCTGGCTTCAAACTCGTGCAACCTGTGCAGTTCCCAATATTTCTGTCTCATTCCCCCTCTCACTGAAACTCTGGTACTATTCAGCCTGATATGAGAAACAACAGTGATCCTGCTGGCACCTAATACCAGGTGACTGTCATCTCTGTAGCGCTCACGGTACTTGGCAGTCCAGGAGGATGAGCCGCCTTTAGTTTCAGATTCCACCCAAATGCCAAGTGAAGCTAGTTCTCTTTGAGAATGCTACCCACAAACTAGAATCCCAGCACACTCAATACTACAGGGCTTAATTCGAATAGTGACAGCCAACCAGAGACTGACCCCCACAGCTTTCTAACCATGCCTCCTCCCTCTCGGGAGGCCCCGCCCAAGGCCCCTCCCCACCCCAATTATGGACCTGGTCTCAAGCTATGGAATTGGGGTTTTTCTCCCACTAATCCAAATTCCACTCTGAGTAGCAGGTGCTGTGGGGTGGAACCCTATAACTATACCAGATTTTGTAGGACCCATTAAGAATTAGGTCCTATCTAACTGGAAAAACGTATGAACTCTATCAGATTCTGAGTGTTGTAACAATTTCAGTGATTCAATTTTACAACGATTTAACAGAGGAAGCGATTAGGCTATATTAAGTTTTAGTATAACTGTATCCTGGATAATCTGAAATAATTTTAAACTGTCATAACAATGAGTGCTTTCAAATTTCTCTTACTACAATCTATATGTCCTGTTCCTCTTGAACAGTCCTCTATATAGCAGATGAATTTGGGTCTGAAATATAGTTGATCAAGATGTTTGGATGTTATGTACTATATTTTGAATTATCCTAAAAATGCATTCCACTTCTTAATTAGTAACATTTTCAAGAAAATTTCTTTTAGCTCTAATTAAATAATTATCATTGATCTTTTTAAACAGATCAATTCTAAAGTTAAGAAGAGGGGAAGAGTATTATAACATATATGTTAGAAAGTCATATATTAACAAGTTTTGTAATAAACCAAAGGAGATTTAATATCCTGTCATCTTAAATATGGAGTCCTGGTGTGATGCTGTGGATTAATGTCCTAGATTGAAAAGTTGGTTTGAACTGTAAAGTTGGAGGTTCAAGCTCACCAGCCGCTCCTCAGAAACCCTATACAGGGTTGCTATGGGTCAAAACTGACTCAACGGCGCTTCACAACACTACAACAACATCATAAATATACCCTGTTCAAGATGGAATTTGAATAGTTCCTTGTTGTTGTTGTGATGTATCATGGAGTCAATTCCGACTCATAGACCTGTACAGGGTTTCTGAGGCTATAAATCTTTATGGGAGCAGAAAGCCTCATCTTTCGCCCGCGGAATAGCTGGTAGTTTTGAACTGCTGATTGTGAAGTTCGAAGCATGATTCTTAACCACTATGCTATCAGTGCTCCTTATGGACAGTTCCTTATAGGGATTCAAAATCATACCTACCTTGATGTTCCACAGGTTTGAAGCCAGGTGCAAAGGATGCATTATAAAGCTATAGGATGGATGGAACTGTAATGGTAAAGGACCTAGATCCCTGAGACATCTGGGGAGAGGCTACGTGATTGAGAAACAAATCTTTATCATTAAAGGCCACTGGATTTTGCAATTGATTGTTCCAACAATTAGCTTACCCTGACAAATTTTAGATATGTAGAAGTTAGCGAGGTAGAAGATGATGAAGGGAATTTCTGAAAGCAAGTTGGTATTGATTGAGTTGTGCCCCCATCCTTTTTTAAAAAAAATTTTTTTAAGATATATTGAAGTACTTATCCTTGTACTTTGAAGTTGTCAAAGACGTCATTTTGCTTGGGTTTACAATCATTGCTCACGGCAGCAGCAGTCAAGACATTAAAGGAGATATTGTATTGGGCAAATCTGTTGCAAAAGGACTTTTTAAAGTGTTAAAGATCAAAGATGTCACTTTTATCTTTAACATTTTAAAAAGTCTAACCCAAGTCATGGCTTTTTCCATCATCTCATATGCATGTGAAAGTTGGAGAATAAATAAGGAAGGCCTTATAAGAATTGATACATTTGAATTATGGAGTTGGTGAAGAATACTGAAAGTACTATGGACTACCAGAAGAACAAATAAAATTTTCTTAGAAGAAGCACAGCCAGATTGCTCTTTAGAAGCCAGGATGGTGAGACTTCAGTCTCTCATATTTTGGACATATTGTTAGAAGGGACCAGGCCCTAGAGAAGGACATCATGCTTTATAAAGTGGAAGGTCAGCGAAAAAGAGGAAGACCCCAAAGAGATGAATTTAGTACAGCAGCAGCAATGATGGCTCATACAACAGTTTTGAAAATGGTGTAGAATCGGGCAGTGTTTCATGCTGTTGTGCATGGGGTTGCTTTGAGTCAGAACCCATTTAGTGGCACCTAGTCATACCTGTGGAGTCCTGGTGTGGCGCTTGGGTTAATGCGCCAGACTGCAAAGCCGTTTGAACTGCAAGATCGGTGGTTCAAGCTTACCAGCTACTCCTCGGAAACCCTATACAGGGTCGCTATGGGTCGAAACCGACTTGACGACACTTAACAACAAGTCATCCCTGTACCTGTGAATGTGACCTTGTTTGGGTTTTTCTTTGCAAATTTTATTAGTTAATATAAAGAAATCATAGGGGAATACTGTGGGCCCTACTTCTGATCCCTTCTGAGTGGAGTCTTATTAAAGAGGACAGGTATGAACAGAGTTGAGCATAGAGATAAGACAGATACCAGACAATGAGAGAGGCAGTTGCCATCTATAAGCAGCAAAGAAATCCAAGGTTTACCAGCAGTCACCAGAAACTCGGAGTAAAACATGGGGCATTTTATCTCACAAAGCCCTCAGAAGGAACTGACACTGCTGGTATATGTGCTTCTGGCTTCCATGATTATGAGAAAATATATTTCTGTGTTTTAAAGCTGCCCACTTCTGGTATTTTGTTATGGCAGTCCTAGGAAACTAAGATACAGGAAGAGTATGTTCACAGGACACCAAACAGCAGTATACTCATATTATGGGAACCACAAGGTTTTTATGGGTACAGCATGGGTTAAAGTGTGGGGATGAAAAAAGTTCATGCCAGAGAGATGTGAACTAACTTATTATTATTAATATTGTTGTTATTGCTTTCAGACTTTCCTCTTTCCATTCATTTAAAAATATTTAACAAGTGTCATTGAGATATAAGCCATACACCATACAATTTACCCATTTAAAATGAACAATTCAGTGTTTTTTAATATACTCACAAAGTGGCAGCGTAGGATAAGCACTGGACTGTTAAACACAACGTTGGCAGTTCAAACCCACCAGTCACTCCTTGGAAACCCCAGACAGGGTTGCTATGAGTCAGAATCTACTCAAAGCCACTCACTTAACAACAACCACAACAACATGAGTCAGAACCAACTGAACAGCATTTAACAATGACCATCACCACTGTCAATTTTAGAAAATTTTCATCACCTCAAAAAGTAGCTACAAACACCATTTTCCATCAAGGCTCTTAGCTTTGGGAACCATTACTTTCTGTCACTACAAATTTGCCTGTTATGTATAGATGAAATCATATCATCTGTGATCTTTTGACTAGCTTCTTATATCTAACATAACATTTTCTAGGTTTATCCACATTATATCATATATCATTACTTCATTCTTTTTTATTGCCAAATAACATTTCAAAAATGGCTGCAACCTTACATTGATAGAGAACTTCCAGCGGTTCATGCTGGATTCAGAAGAGGATGTGGAATGAGGAATATCATTACTGGTGTCAGATGGATCTTGGTTGAAAACAGAAAATACCAGAAAGATATTTACCTGTGTTTTATTGACTATGTAAAGGCTTCAGTTATGTGGATTATGACAAGCTATCGGCAATGTTGCAGAGAATGAGTATTCTGGAACACTTAATTGTACTCACAAGGAACCTGCATATAGACCAAAAGGCAGTTGTTCAGACACAACAAGGGAACACTGCATGGTTTAAAATGAGGAGAGGTGTGTACCAGGGTTGTATTCTTTCACCATACTTATTCAGTCTGTATGCTGAGCAAATAATTTGAAAAAACTGGATTATATGAAGAAAATCATGACGTCAGGATTGGAGGAAGACACATTAACAACCTGTGATACACAGATGATACAACCTTGCTTGCTGAAAGT